CTCTCAAATCCCATCAGAGCAGAGACTGTTAGCCCAGAAGTGTGGGCTCATAAACCTGTTGATATCCCCACAGCAACAGCTGATGGTTTTGGCTTGAAACACATCTTGCAGTACCTCTGCCTGGGGAAACACAAACATTTCCACTTCTAGATAATGGGCTTTCTGTTAGCAATTTATCTGAATCTGCTGGTGAGCTACAGCTCCAGTGAAGGCAGAAAATCATTCAGTTATGGTGTGCTGAGCCTTGCCTACGCACAAAAACCTGGTGTTGAACATTTTAGAAATGGATTTTCTGTGAGTTTCAGCGACAACCTGCTCTGTTTGCAAACACCTCAAGTCCTTTTGTACAAGCCTGTGTTTGCCCCATGTCAAAGCCTCTGCCAGAGCCAAGTCAAACCCTCCTTGCTTCATTATGAGGAGGTGTTTGAACCTGCTTTATTTGAACAGACATTCTGCTTGTTAAACCTGTGAGGTGTTAACCCCAAGAAAACTCCACTGATGAACGGAGCAGATCAGCCCACCAAGCTGTGAGGGTGACTGTGATTCTGGATGCTGAATTCTGCATCTGAGGCTGAAATTACAGGGTAGGAAATTACATGGTAGCTGACAGCTTGTTGTTGACACAAAGGGAAGATCCTGCTCTTCCTTCCCTTCAGCCACCATCCCCTCTCAGCCTGGGTACAGAGTTTATGCTGGCTCTGGCATTCCCATGACCCTGTGCTGACTCACCTTGCCACACAGCCAGAAAAAAATCATTTTCTTCTTGCCAGGTGAGTGAGGTTGAACTGAGTCAGCCAAACTTAATATATCTCTCTGAAAGGGAGTTTTGTAACCACCTTAAGCTACCCTGGCCTAAAACACCACTGTCCCCAAAAAGAAGCATTCCCACCTTATGGTCCATCACTTACATTTCTGACTCATCTTCCCAGATAAACTCTCTTTCTGGTTGGCAGCAGCACCCCAAGCCTGTCACATCCCAGCAATTTACATTCCTGCGACCTAATTTTTTATCCTGCAAACTCCAGTTCAGTGGCATTTCCTCTGAATAACACCTGCCTCCCTGCCTGTCTCTGGTTTGATCTGTTGGATGAAGAATTACTTGGGTTTATTCTGCTTGTGAAAAGACTCCAGCAGGGGTGCTGGTATGTTAATTACAACATATGGTCTGAATTCTCGTGGAAAAGGGAGGCTATAAACGATCCCGTTCCAGGGCACTACGAATGGCCCTGGGCACAGGGCAGCCACGAGGTGGCACGCTGGGCTTTCACTGCTGTGTCTGCTATCCCAAGAGCAAGTTATTCGGGAAAAGCAGGCGGATCCTCAGCGGAGTTAGGTAAAACACCATTCCTGTTTAACATCCATCCACCCTGCAAGAACGGGCTTTGATTTCCACATAAATGGCTAGTCAGATTCAAAGTTATTGTCATATGACTGAAATAGATCTCTTATGTCAGTCAGTCAAAACAGAATGGAGGATGTGAGTCATGCTTTGCAAAAAGCAGGAAGTTTGGTTTTATTGGCACAAATTTTTAATACAGAGAATTATACGGCTGTGTTGCCATGTTTGTCATAAGGATTCGAGAATAACATTGTCCATCCCTTAGAGAAATGTTTCCAAAACAGAAAAATAAGAGCTTTTACATTCTGATTGTTATTCCTTATTGCCCGGTGCTATGGAATCTGGGAGGAGTCTAGAAGAAAACGTGCATTTGGTGAGAATTCTTAGAGCCTCCCTTACAATAAAGGGCTGCAATTGGAAGAGTCTGATGTGGGGCGGGAGGTGGGAGGTAACACAAGAAAATGAGGTCATGCTTATGGGTGAGACAGAGACACTTGCTCATGATTGTTATTGCCTTGCCTGAAGCATAATAGATAAACCTTCATAATAAACCATAAATAAACCAGCACAAAGGTAGGAGTGCAAGTCTACTTGTGACATATTCTGACATTCTGGAACTTGGTTGTGGTGTATCTTAAGTCCCTCCAATAACTGGTGGGACAAGAGATAAGTCATTGTAAAAAGCATGGCACAGAACCAGCTTTTCTTCGTAACCTAAAAAATATAATGGCGTTTAAAATTTAAATAGTTACCCTTCAACGTGACCGTTCAAAACATCACTATGCAAGAAAAATTAATTTAAATGGAGGCAGGTGCAGGGGAGGGCAAGTGAGAGCAGAGAGCCAAAAGTGTGAGGGGAGAATAAAAGCCTTTGGCTTGGTTTGCTTAGCAGAACAAGGAACTTGATTACTCTTTATAAACAGATGAACAGGGAGACGCTCAAGAGAGAGGAGTTATCTAAATAAAGAAAATAGTAGCACAAGACCATATGGGTAAAGTAATAAAATGTCATTTAAGTTACTAAAAATGACACGAGCCATTTGGCATGTGGCACAAGGTAAATTCTTTTGGACTGTGTTATAATGAAGTAAGTAAAAAAACCCAAACAAAAACCTCTGGATTGCAATTCAATGGTTGGCAGGGGAGCAGTGTTCGTGACCTGACTTTGCATATATCTGGTCCTTTAAAAGAGCTGTATTTTCAACTCACTCAATAAGAGTGCAAGCAGGAAAAAAAAAATTAGGTAGAAGTCTAAAAAAGGCAATTACAAGCTCTTTTTAAGGAGTCCGTTGGGTAATCAAAGAGCCACAACTTCAAAATCAAGAGAGAAAATACATTGACAACTTCTGTTTTATTAATGGGCTGGAGAGAGTGAGTAAAAACGAAAAAATAATAGCCAAAATGGAGAAAGCAAGAAATAAAAAAGTGTTGGTATAAATGAGAAGTTATGAGAAGCAGAGTAGTTATTGGAAGTGAAGCACATCAAAGGAAATCCATACCTGTCAAGGCTAAATCTCAGAAACCCCCAGTAATGTTTCTGGCCCATTACTAGATGGACATGATTAAAATGTCAATAACAATGCAGAAGTTTTCATTGAACATTTATGATCTATGTTTGTAAAGAAACAGGAAGATATGTGGTGGGATTACTTAACTGTAATTTAATAGATCTCAGTCCATTAGTAGCCAGTGAAGCTATAGTCTTTTAGGGAAAACTGTGGCCCAGGAGCACAGACACAGCTGACTGCAGAGACCCCTTGCCTGTTGATGTTCCTCTTTAGTAAACCTTGATATATTAGGCAATTCTAGAAAGCTAAAAACGTGCCAGGTTGGTGTCTGTCTTCAGGAAAGGCATTTAAAATGATATATAGTAAATGCAGATCCAATAACATTAGATCTGTGGATAATGTGCTGGATAAATACCAAAAAAGGGTGTTATGTGACTCATTAAAGAATTAGTAATGCTGGTCAGAGGTCTAATAGAAATCTCATTTCATGCTTCAAAAGGACAACAAATAATTCAATTTCCTCTGGAAGGTGTAATAAACTTTTAAAAGGATTTTTGCCTAGTACTGCACAACATTTTAATTAAACAGAGTTATAAAGCATCCGTTAAGAATACATTGAACACTGGCCACAGAGATTATTTTTTTCAGAAGTGGTTATAAATCATTACTGAATAAGGCTTCTTCTAATGGGACCCTCCAGGATCATGTGTGCTGTACTACACATGTATTAATCAATATTTTCATTAGTCATTTGGAAGTAAATACAAAATCAGTCCTAATGCAATTTGCAGACGAGATCTGCAGCAGCTGGGTGGTACCATCAGGATGACAAGAGCCGTTGTTCAAAGCAGGGTAACCTGGGTCTGGATAAAGGGACTGGCTCACAAGGCAGCCAGACACAAAGCCACCTATCTCAGGTGTGCACAGGTACACAGGGGGAGGAGAGAAACCTGCTGTGTGCTCTCTGTGGGTTACATTCACCCCCTGTGCAAAAGGGGACATACCTGGGGGTGCACTACAGCCTTTCCTACCCTGGATGTGGATGGACACAGCATCCTAAATCTCCATATTCTGCAATGCAATGCTGAAAAAACTTGGAAAAAGGGGACGGGAAACTGTAATTTAAGGGCAGGAGGAGATGCCTCACAATGTAGAGTTTGTAACTAACTTGGTTTGTCACAAAGACAATAAAGGTGCAGCTTGATAAACTACCCCTATGGGGATGAATACGGACACAAAAAGTGTGAGATCACCAGGTGTGGGGTGGCCTGGACTGGGCACAGGTGTGGGATCACAGGTGCGGGATCACCTGGGATGGACACAGGTGCGGGATCACCTGGGATGGACACAGGTGTGGGATCACAGGTGCGGGATCACCTGGGATGGACACAGGTGTGGGATCACAGGTGTGGGATCACCTGGAGCAGGCACAGGTGCGGGATCACCTGGGGTGTGCACAGGTGGGGGATCACCTGTCCTGCCCTGGACCGCCCGGGGGGGTGACCTGGGACTCACAGAATCAACGAGGTTGGACAAGATCTCTGCGACAACCGGGTGCCACGTCCAGTCTCTCCCCACACACCCCTAGGGGCGGTCGCTCCCTCAATTCCCCGGACATCCCATTCCCAAAGGCTCCGCGGGCGCCGCTCCCGCGCGGCGAGTCCATGTCGCTCCGGGGGGGGCCGTTCCCCGCTCCCCCCCCTGCCCCGAGGTGGTTCGCCCCGCTGGCCCCGCCCCTCCCGCGCGCAGGAACAGCCACGTCTCCAACCCGGCCGGGGAGGGGGCGGGGCCACACCGCCCGCGCGCGCCTGCCGGCAGCCAATGGCGGGGCGGCCCGGTGAATCATGCGCTCGGCCATTGGCCGGCGCGGCGGGCGGAGGAGGTGGAGAGCGCGAAGTGGCTCCCATTGGCCCGGCGGGCTCTGTTGACAAACACCCCGGCTCCGTCCCGCCCCCTCGCCGCGCCTCCCGCCAATCAGAGCGGAGGAGAGGGTTGAGCGGCGTGTCGCCGGGCCAATGGCGCGCGCGTCCGCCTCGCCGGGGGGCGGGCGCGCGCGCGGTGCCGGTACGTGGCGGGCAGGGCGGGGCGCGGCGGTCAGGGCGGCGCGCGCGGCGGGCGCCCATTCCGCGGCGGCGACAGCGGCGACAGCGACAGCGGCGACAGCGGCGTTCAATGTCCTAACGGGGAGCGGCGGCGGGCGAGCCGGGCCCCTCCATGCGGGGGCCGCGGGGCCGCAGCGCTCTGGCCGCCTTCGCGCTGCTGGCGGTGGTGCTGTGGGGGGGAGCGGCGGGCGGCCCGGAGCCGCCGCGTCCGGGAGATGCCGCGGCCGCCGTGGAGGCCGCGTTCGGGCTGGGGGCGGCCGCCGCGCCCGCCGCCCTGCCCGCCGGGCCCGCCGACGTGACGGTGGAGGACGATGAGGGCAGCGTGGCCCCCGCGGCGTCCCCCGGAGAGCAGGAGGCGGAGGGGAGCGGAGAGGCCCGGAGCGGCAGCAGGTGGGCGGGGGGGTGTGACGGGGGCTGGGGATGCTGAGGAGGGGTCGGTGAGTGGGAATAGTTAGGGGGTATCAGGTGCCTGGGGCTGATAAGGGGGGGGGTCGGTGGGTGGGGCTGGTGAGGGGGGGTCAGTTGTCTGGGGATGCTCAGGGAGGTCAGGGCTGGGTTGGGATGGGTGCCTGGGGCTCTGAAGGAGTCAGGGGTCAGTGCCTGGGGCTTCTGGAGAGGGCTGAGTGCCTGGTGAGAGTCAGTGGGTCAGCGACTGGGTGGGTGTCGGTGCTTGGGGCTGCTCAGGGGGGTCGGTGCCAGTGGCGGGGTCAGGACGGAGATGGTGGGGAGGGGGCTCAGGTCCGGTGTGGGGGTGCTTGTCGGGGGTCATCGCCTCAGAGGAGTGTCCAGGGTCGGTGTTTGGGGGTGCAAGGGGCAGACACGACTGTACCTGGGCTGGGAATCAGCAGCTGGGGGTGCTGGGGAGGAGGAAAGGAGCTGCGAGGTCCCGAGGGTCGCGTGTGGGGAAGGGGCCGTGCAGGTGTGGGAATAGCGCTGGGAGGGGTCGGAAGTGTCGGAGTGGAAAAAGCGGAGAGGAGAAGCGGGAGAGTCAGAGATGGAGTGGTGCTGGGCTGTGGGACACGCAGGGAAGCGTCCCGGTCGGGAGGAGAGGCGCAGGGAGAAGGGAGTGGAAGAGGTGTGTCCCGTGATGGGGCTGCAGTGACGGGCAGGATGGACCGAGGGGGAGGATGTGACAATGAGCAAAGGGAACTTCGAGACCTCGCCAGCGCTGAAGTGCTTGTTCTTCACGCCGTTGTTAGCAAGGAGAAAGGGTGCCTTAGTTCTTAGACAAATAAGCTACCGGATGTCACGCTATGTGACATCTGGCCCGTCTGCTTACCCTGGTGATACCACGTCTCGATCCCTTCCCTGCCCTGGTCCCAGGTGGCAGTTCTGTGCCTGCGGGAAGGAGACCCTAAAGCACCGAATCTGTGGTCTATAAACTCTTTCCAACACCTGCAGCTCACAGTTGTTCAGAGCATCGTGTCCCTCTCTGTCACCGCTTCTTTCTGTTTTAAAGAAAATTCAGTTCTCCCGTTTACTTGATTGCCTGTTAAAGCACAGACACAGGGGTGTGCCTGAAGGGATGCCAGACGAGCAGGACAAATTGATGAACAAGTTTCAGAATATAACAAAGGGAAATAAAATACTTAATAACTGCGTGTGGCAAGAAGCTCTGGCAAAAGCACGATTTAGATGAATGACTCAAGTGCAGAAATGTTACTGAGCCGTTTCCCGTCTGTTTCTGAATTGGCTGGGAGCGATGAGGTGATAAGCCACAGCCAGAGTTTAAAGGAAGAAGAGCATGACTAAATGCTGTATTTGAGAACCTCTTCTAAAAATGAATAGCCCAAAGCTTGTTGTTAGTATATCTGAGCATTCACTTAGAGGAATAAACTGGCTGATAACTTCATATCCTGTTTTCTTTGAGGGCGGTCTCACCAGTTAGCAACAGGATCATTCTTTTGTGTATCAGCTCATCAAAATCCTACCTAATGTATTGCAATTCTACTGTATTCAATTTTTAGTAACACCTTTGTTTATTTAGCCCTGAAAATTTTTAAAAATACGTTTTCTCTTTGACTACTAGAGCTAACCAGAATACACTGAAGATGTTCAATGTAGTAAATTAAGCCTGAGATTAAATGTAGCTGTTCTGTAATTGATTAGTGCGTAGGAACAGATTTGCTGTCATCAAATAAAAATAGAATGGCTGTCTGGCCATACTATTTGCCTGCATTTCTTTATTTTTTTCATCTGTATTTCTGAGATTTCTGCTGACCTCAGGTAATTGTTCTTCAGCAATATCTGCATAATATAATAGGGCAGTATAATCTGAAAAAAGAACAAAACCAAAACCTCACCTATTTTTTGCTGTAGGCAAATTAGTGTTTGGGTTTTAAGATACTTTTATATTTCTTAGGAGAAAATGTGAGGGTTAGTGAATTACTGTGCTCTTTGCGTACAAACATGCAGGTTTGGCTGTTGGAATAGCTGCTTAGAGTTCAAGTTGACAAACAGCTGTACTTGCAATGTCCCAAATGGCTTTTGAGGGTTGAGGTTATTAGTGTTGAGGGTTCTTTTAAACTGAAACAGGAATAGTGGTAAATGCTGTACTAAAATGATGGCAAGTTCTGCTTTGTTTTCCTAACAAAAGCAACTTATTTGAATCAATACAAAGTTTTGGTGGAGTGAAAGGGTGGAGGTGAACTAGAGAAGTGTTCTTCCTCTGTCCTGTTTACATCTTCCCTTGCCACCTTAGCCCTTTCCTTCTCTTTGCAGGTAAATCAAATACCTTCAATTCTGTAAGGTAGATCAGGCCACTTGATCTCAAAAAGTGGTCTGTTTTCCTGATGGGATACAAATAAAGGATTTAAGGCCCGGAAATGGCCTTTTCTCAGTGTACCTGGAAGTTTATAGTAGATGTTTTGCATAGTTTCAAGGGGGAACATTATCACTGCACTCGAATAACAAGGTCCTGTCTGTGAGCAAAAGGGAATAGGAGAGGGTAAGAAAACATTTTCCTTTAGCCCCGGAGGCTGTTTGTAGATGGTCAGGGTGGGGGAAGTATGTCTAGATGTGTTTTCATAGTGACAAAATGCAAATAAAATCTGACTATACAGCAATAGCTTGTTCCCTGCCAGCTGCTCTGACTGCTGATATTTTTGTATGCTCTGTGTACTGGCCCCTTGCTTTAGTCCTGTGCTGGCCATCTCTAAGGGCCCGGAAGGGATTTTCTTCTCCTCCATCCCTTGGTTCATAATATATTCTGGACCAGGAGTTACAGGCAAGGTGAAGTGCATATCTTTATTTTACTGATGTTCGTTTTTCAGGTGTCTAGTTAATGGATCCTGGATTTAAGTAACTGCCTAATCTGGAGTAATTCCTTTTTGTATCTTTTTTGTTCTGGTCCAGGCTCGTGGAGGCTATTGAATTGTGGGTTTGTGGTGGTGGTGGTCATTTTTTTTTTCACATCTCTAATATCTCTGTGATGTGTTTCACTCCCCAGTCTAGTCCATGATTTACTTCCAACAAATATCTTGTTTCAGGAATGTGCAGCCTTGATGCTGTTTGTCTCTATCCTCCTCACTTCCGTGGTGTTGCAGTTGTGGCTTTTGACCTTTGCCCTGAAGTTGGGTAGTATTTGGTGTTTTCTGTGGGATGGTGGTATGCAGGATGGAGTCTGCTTTGGGTGGTGGTCTCGGACTTGTGTTTGCTGGAAGCTGGCTTTGTTGGTCAAGGTAGTCTTTAAGCTCTGTCCTAGTCAGGAGGTGATGTTGATAAAGCCAGTGATAAGGTGTAGTTTTTCAGAGAATGGGAGAGTTTATCAGGCTTGACCAAAATAGAAACTGCTTCAGAAATTCCTTTTCGTTGCAATTTGTCAATCAGGTGTCCCAAGGATGCGTCCAAAATAGTGTTTTTTTCAGTTTATTGTAATGGAATTACAGGTACAGCCCTGACACCTTCAGCCAGCAAAGGCTTCCAAACAAATGGCTGAAGGGACCCTCTTTATTCTTGAATCGTGGCTGTATTCTGCTGGTGTTTCTAAGAATTTCCTGTAAGAATTGGGCATAATACACTGCAGTAAACTCACAGTAGTGCTGTGGAGTTGTCACCCCAAGTCACCTGCCTGTTTTTTAAGCTCTGAAATAGTTCCCTGAAGCAGTTGCCTAAACTGCTTTTATCAGAACATGTTAATTCTAGTGCTTGATTAGACTACCTGAGCAATGGGAAGGTCTCTTGTCACCACTTCATACTCTCAGTACAAAAGCTGCAAGCAGTGGAATCTCACAGGGTAAGGGGGGAAATTTGAAAAAATGGAAAATCTGATAGTGAGAAAGTGTAACACTACTGTGGGTCTTGGGCACGTGTAGACAAATTTAGGATTTTACACCAATTAGAGTTCAAGTGACAGGATTTAAACTTACTGGAGTCCGTCAGAGAAGAGGAGAATGGGTATTAAGATTTTAATTCTTAGAAAAACAGAATAAGTACTGAAGGATTTTTATTACAAGAGTAAGGATTTTTAGCAATTTTTTTTTCTCACATGCAGTATTATTTTTGAAGAGCAAGATAAAGGTGTAACCAGAAACATGGCTATTTAGTTCAAAATGAGTCACTCATTAAAAAATCAGAGAGAAATGGATCTTTTTCTTGTACCTAGTTCCAGTTCTAAAGGTAGCCACCTGCAAGATCAAGGTGTAGCCAAGCTGGTCCTGTTCCTATGTGTCATGGAAGTGTTTGCTCAGGAGGTGAAACAAAGTCCATTCTAGAGCTGTGGCCAAGGGGACAAATAAAGAGTTCCATTGCACCCAAGAAAAGCCAGGATTTTTATGATTTGCAGAAGGAGTTTGTTAAACCAGTTTCTCCAAGTGTGTGCTGTTGGTACAAAGGTTCCCCACACCCTCCTCCTCTTTCCTAATCATCTGAACTTAAAACTGAAGTGTGGTTACTCTATGATTTGGGTGGCTGGAGGGCAGGATGCAGGTGCAGATTCCAAAACTGCCGTCTTGAGTGGTGGTGGAGAGGATTGAATAGTGAGGGAACTCGTAGGGAAGGCTCAGGTTTGCATCTGGTGGGGAAAGATAATATGGAAAGGTAAGATACAAAGGCATAAAACATTTGTTACCTGAGGGAGAAGTCAAATGTGAAGAATTAGATAAAGGAAAACAACGGGAGTACATGGGAAGCAAACATTTCACAGTGTGATTTTTGGGATTTTTCTTCTCTGCGTTATTGCTGCCAAAATTCCCTTCATTCCAGCTACATTTCTACCTTTTTTTTTTTATAACCTAGTTGTCAGGAGGATCAACATAAAATTTAAGTAGGCCCACTTGAAATAATATTTTCTTATGCAATGCGAGAGGGGCTTCAGATAGGCTGTTTTACCATAAAGCAAACAGATGCTGTTAAATGTGTGTCCAAGGCCTTTTAGCGTGAGAGCACTTGTTCACAGCGCTTGAGAATAGTCAGACTCCTGCAATCTGGTTTATTATTAACCCAGTCTTGGTTTCTGTACAGTTGGAATAAGTGTTTGTACTCAGCTTATAAAAATTTATGTCTTCTACTGTGCAAATATTTGCACAATTGGTATTTTTCTAACAATTTCTTAAACTTAGGTTTTGGAGGAATGTGATGCTTGGCTGCCTTCAGAAATAGGAGCTGCTGTGGTACTTTTTGGCAGAGGTTGAAGATGTATTTATTTTTCTATTTATTAATAGTATAGTGCTATAGTACATTATAAGGTCCTATTAATTGTGTGGGTTGCTTTTACATGTAAAACTGCCATGTTTTACATGACCTTTGTTATAAGTGATGTAATGAGCCATTATTCCTGAATGTGTTTTTAAGATCATGCTTTTGGTTTTTGCCTCCTTAAAGCACACTGAAAGCCACTGTCCTTTCATCCCTAAATTTCATGTTACTACCCCGGTGACTTCAGACAAGCGAATATATTTGGCTTCAGTTCTACACAATAATTTATTGTCCCTTATTGTTTAAAATAAAGATTCCTGTACATGTCTGTGTGTGCATTACTGGCCCCCTGCCCTTTCACCTCCACCTGAAAATGGTTAATCTCCCCATCACTTTATTTGCACAGTCTCTTATTCTCATCGAAACCAGTGACTATAAAGGTCCTTCTGGGTCACCAGATCCAGCCCCCCCTCAGTGCAAGCAGCCTGTAAAGTGATCAAGCTCCACTCCCACAGCCTTTGAAGATTGTTGAGCCTGCTGCAAGCCAAAACTGACAACACAATCCCAGCTTTTTCGGGTCAGAGAGAAACAATCTTCAAGGAAAAAAAAAGGCCCTTCAAAAGTGCCTTGTCAGTGCTTTGTCTCTGATGTGTTGTTTATTTTGTTTGTTTGTTTATTTTAATGCTGCAGTTCTAGCCCAACCAGAAATGCTTATTCTAATTGTACAGCTGTGTAAGAAAGAAGATTTACTGAAATTGAGGAGCTTCAGGGGCTGTAGAAATCAGCAGCCAGCCTGCCAAGGCCACGTTTCCCCAGATATCAGACTGCTTAAAACCTGAGCTCTGTGTAAGGCACTTTGCTTGCTTTGTGGTCTGCAGGTGTTGGAGGTTTTTTCTAGTGCCCTGTGAGTGCCTTAGGAGGGACTTGAGAGACTTGTCAGATATCCAGGATTTCCGTGTTTGATCCAAAGCCATTGAAAACTTAGTTGCAACTTAGTATTTCTTACGTCCTGATTTGCTGGGCTGCAAGTTTCAGGTTTAGGTTGCTTTGAAAGGATGGGTTAAAGATCAGTTTGGAAGGGACTGGGAAAAGTAGGATCCATACTGGCCTTATAGATACCTCAAAAAATATTATCTCATTCGGTGTTGAGGTGGTAACATCTGCATTTGTGGGAGCAAAAAGTCAAGTATCTTACCTAGAAACTGAACTCTGAAAGTGTCTTATAACGTGTAAATTAGTTTATGACATTCAACCAGAGACTTCAGCTCTTCTACACTCTGTTGTTGGTCTGGGTAGAGCTACCAAGCTAAACTGCTGTTCTGGAGAGTATAGAGACTTAACTTTGGAGTTACATTTTACTAAACATAAAATAGGTGAAGTCCATACTGCTGTGGTTTTGACTGTGAACGTTTCCAACTTGCAGATCTCTAGTAATTATCAGCACTTTGGATGGACGAATTGCTGCACTGGATCCAGAAAACAGTGGGAGAAAACAGTGGGATCTGGATGTGGGATCAGGTTCTCTTGTGTCATCCAGTCTCAGCAAACCAGAGGTAAGGCTTAATCTCTGTCCTGACAAAATCTTTAAAAATGGAATTGTTTCTAATAAAATGAAAGCAGCTTCCTCCTTGTTTGGTAGATGTTAAATAATGCAGCAAACTTTTAGCTACAGAACTTTATCCAGACTGTTCTGAAACTTTTTTTTTTGGAGTGCTTACATCATGTTGCCATTTCAAACTAGAGTGTGTCAGCATTTTGGCCTTGGCATTGATGTATGTGATAACTATCAAACCAGATGATGTAACTGAGTTTGGGAATTGTAGGTAATTGCTGATTGAAAACAAGTTACTTGTAATTTGAAGCAAATAAAAGGATCATCTGCTTTGTATTACTAAAGTATGTTTTGGCAAGTACTGGCTTTTTTTTTTTGTCCCTCAAGAAAAGCAAAAGTCCTTGTGACTTAATAGATGAACAAAGGATTGTTTAGAGTGTTTTAGACTAGATAAGCAGGCTGCCTGTGAAACACAATGTCTTAGCAATTAAACAGTGCTGAAGGTCACCCTCAAGTACTGAGTTATAAAGGGAGGGTTGCATCACTTCTTGCTGGTGAACTGTAGGAAAAAAATCTAGAGTTAAATTTCTTGTTTGGTGCTATTTCCACCATCAGTTTGAATAAACTTGGGCTAAAAGTTAGAAGCAAGGGTTTTTTTCCTTCTTTTTCTTTTTTTTTTGTTTTTGGGGTTTTTTTGTTGTTGTTTGTTTGTTTAAATTTTTTGTTTGTTTTTGTTTTTTGCCTGCACTGGATAAGTGAGATCTCTTAAGTCATTTTCTCCTAGAATGAGGAGGACTAAAACACCAGTGTAGTTTGTAGTACACGGTCCTTCCCTGTCATGGATGGTTGGATTTGATGACCAGTCCTATATCATACTTTGCACAATGATCATCAGAGAATGAAAGTTGAATTCAGGATTATTCATATTGTATGAGCTTCTTGCTTGTGGTTCTTTGTTGCTGTCTATGGAGATGACCTCTGTTCTGGTGTAAAGAAGTCTAAGGAAAGATTTGATCTGGGGAATTTTATTTATGGATGCAGCTTTTTGAGATTTGTTCAGGTGTGGTTTTGTGGCTTAGAAAAAACGCTGTAGGAAAGAAGAACTTCCCCCTAAAAATATGTTCAAAAGCAGAATTGAAAAGAGTGCAGAAACTGTGGAGAACTGTAAAGTGGAAGGTGTCAGTGATAGTGTGATCCTTCACAAATGTTTTCAATGCTAGATACTTAAAATACTGGTCTGTTACCTGTTGCTGCAAATGACCACGTGAAAACAGAATCACCGGTTATAAAAAGAACATATTTGAAATCTGAGCAAATATGAACTTCATTTTTCACTGCAAATTAAGGCAGGAGCCAGGCTTTTAAAGCTTTTTGGGAATGCAAGCATTTCAGAATATAGAAGTGGTTTTGCACGTCTAGATTTTGTCACTTAACTGGTCTGTCCAGAGTTCTGATGTTTTCCCAATGGGGTATGACTGTGGAAACTAAAGGTTGATGATCAAACAACAAAAATTGTATCTTGTCCATTCAATATTTAATTGTCTTTTGTGGCTACAAGTCAGTAGGTCACAGGAGTCATAAAAATACACTTTTAAAGAGAGTTTGTTATGCATAGAGGAAGTTGAGCTTTCAGATAAGCTTTTCAGTTGTTTCACTTCTACAGCTGTGGCTGAAGACACTGATGGATTTTGGCAGTTAAGATGCAGAGCCTATCAGAGAACTAATTTTGGAAGTAAAACTTCATTTTGGCCTTTTAGAAGCTGTTAAGCGTTATGAATATGGGCCTTTTTAGACTTACTGTCATGTAAACAAATGCTGTTAAGACAGAATTTAACAAGAAACAAAAGTAATGAATACTCCGAATAAACTACACTTAAATATTTAAGTGTTTAATCTGCTGTCGGTATCAGCTGAAGGACTTCATGCAGTGAACCTAGAATCACTTGAGTAATTTGCATCAGTGTTGGGAAAATTCTAGTTTAGGTCAAAATACTAAATTCATTAAAGTTTCAGAGTCTCTCATCTCCCCGCTCGATGGTATTTCCTCTCTGATTTGGACATGTGGCATGTTAAGTTTTAGTCTCTCAAACTAAGTATTGAGGCTTTTTCTTCCTCTTCCAACATTTTTGAGGTAACAAGGGTTTCTGTGCTAGCAACCACAAATAATTAATCATAAAACTGTATTATTATGTAAGCTGTTAACCTACATCTTCTTGCAAGAAATGGCAGATGAGAAACTCTTTTACGCTTGCAGTGATAAAGGTTTGTGTTCTTTCAGAGCGAGCAAAGTGTGTGCTTCTGGGTCTTCATTGTTTTGATGAGAGTTTTTTTAACTCTTGAGTGAGGGTGCAATGAACTGTAGTTCTAGGTTGTGGGGCAAAAGCATAAATTTAATTTCCAAGTGCTTTTTAAGAATAGACTTTAAGATCTTCAAACTTGCAGCGTTTAGTAGAACTGTAGTTACTTCCTTTGCCTGTAAAATGTCAACCTGGCTGTCTGGAGCTGGTGTGTTAATTAGCCAAGTGAGGTAGTAAAATTTCAAGTGTTCCAGCAGCTCTGTCAGACGCCTCAGATCTTGAAACTACTGCTTAAGACACTGACAAGTGAGATGTTCATCATTTGTCATGTGAGCAGATCAATTAAAAAGGAAAGGCTGCTGAAGAACTAATTGTGTGTCTGGGTAACTAAAATGCTAAAATTCTTTCCTTGGCTCTAAGCTCCAGCATAAACAAATCATGGTCAGGGTGCCAATGCTGAAAAGTTATGACTCTGCATTTCAGTCTTGTGCATAAGAATTAAAAAACTCTGTTTCCCTATGGGTTGAGGTAAAATGGAAAACCCTTCTCTGTACGGTTACAACTCCAAGTCTTCTTATTGCTTGCATGTAAAGATTGCTTGATAAAGTTCAGAGAAAACTCACAACTTTTCTAAAAGTTGGAAACACTTTACTCTTTAAAATTTAGGTTTGTAATTAATATATTGGGTATACTTAGAATACTTTTGGGAGAATCAGCCTGTTGAAGTAATGATGCTCAATCATAGTGAAAATGGAGAACTGCCTCTTAAGCAGTGGAAGTGGTCCACAGCACATCATAAGACTGTTGTCATTTGCTAATAAGGATAGTGCATTCTCTTACCTTCAAGGCTTTATACTACATTTCTTAATGGGTTTCTGTCTTTTAAAGGATCTATTAATGAGAGAAATGCAAGGTGAACTTGCCTGTCTATTAAAATGACTGGCCAGCAGTGGCTGGCATGGTTGGTGGGACGGTGGGAAGCTGGAGAAGAGATGGAGTCAGGAAAAAAAACCCTCCTGTGGATTGGTTGGATGGTGGAGATACTCCTGTGTAAGAGCTAGTGGCTGGTGTTTGATGAGAAAGGGGGGAATAGCTGGATACTGGGTGGTGATGAGGCAAGAGTAACAGCTTAAAAACACTTCCAGGATGGTGACACCACTTTTCCCTGTGCTGTCAGAAGTGCTGCAGGAGCTCGAAGTTGTTTCAGTGCTCTGGGCAAAGGCTGCGCTGGGATGGACTTGATAAAAGTAACTGCCTTGGCTCGGGCTTGGGCTGTTAGAGACTAATCCCTACTTAAGCACCTTATTTCCTTATTTGAGACATTGAGGATCATGGGACAAAATCAGTTTTAGCCTGCAAGGCTGACATTTATAGCAGTCAGAGTAAACATACCACTGTATCCTGGAAAAATGGAATAATTGTTATGCCATGTCACCAGATCTGTCAACACCCTTTTATGCCTGTAAAGACTGTTATGACCTTAGAATTGCACTATATACGTATATATCTTAATTTTTATATTGTGATAGCCACTTAAAATCAAGTCTTGTACAAACTGAGGCATCTTTGTCATCTTTTTTGGACGTAAAAGTGGCATATTTTTGTGGAATTACATTTTTTCTCCAGAGAAATGTGGAGATGCAAGGAAGTTCTATACTGAAGTCGTCTGACACCTCATTGCATTGTAGGCAAAGTGAACCCATAGATACCTTTAGCAAATTGTTCCTTTTTTGCCCTTTGGAGAAGACAAACTGATGCTGAGAGCATTGAGTTGAGAAAGGATTTTGAAGTCTCAAAAAAATCCACTAGTGCCTGGATTTAATGCACACTATGAATGTATCTTCTTTTTGGGGGGGTTTCTTTTTCCTTCCCTTTATCAGCATCATAAACCTTTCCAAATTTTCAGTGATTTGGTTCCCCAAAAGAAATACTAAATTCTGCTGTGAAGTGTCCAGTCACCTGGGATTCACTTTGAGGTACTGACTGCCTGCACTTTCCTGCACTTTGGACAAGGCAACCTCTGTAACCAGACAATCCAGAGAAGAGCCAAAATCTGCCTTGGGTTGCTTTGGGAACACAGGAAGAAACTCAGCAGTTCTCATCCTTCGACCTCTTACACTTTGGAATGGAAGAAAACGCAAAATCCACACTGAAAAGGGTCAGGGCAAGACAAGAGGTGAAAACGCCCCCTGAGGGGCTTGAATTGTGATTTCTTTTATGTGCCCTCCCAGAGGTTTGGGGAGGGTGAATAATTTAACTGTGAAAGAATTAGGAAAGTCTCACCCACCACTTAGGGCACTCCTGCAGCAGCATTTTATTAGTTTGAATAAAAATTAGGTTTTTGTTTGGTTCACAGCTTTTTACTATAGTTGTTTTTCAGTTGAGTCACTGCCTGTAAATATCATCCAAGGAAAAGCTGAGATATGTTTGTCTTGGGTATGGGTGGGGAACACTTAAGGCTGTCAGTCAGACTTGAGTGTTTTCACTTAAAAGGTTATTACAGCAGCTGTTAAATGCAGTGCTGAATATTAGGAATTTACATTAATCGTGCATAAAACTATTCTGACTCTGCTAACACTCACTGGACAAACAAAAAGGAGGTTTGTCTCAAACTATGCAAACATTCTGAGAAAATGGCTTTCTCTCTGAATTTTGCTTAAAAATGAATGGCTCTGTCTAGCTTGCTATTGTTAATTTTAACTTT